TCTCTCTCTCTCTCTCTCTCTCTCTGTGTGTGTGTGTATGTATGTGTTTCAGAAAACTCATTTCCTCCAGGCAGGTTTGGATCAGCACTTTCAGCAGGAAGAGTCAACACTGTATTATGTGTATATATGTATATATAATTTGTCTTTTCTCTATTTTTGTATGTATGTGTTATTCAGTTCTCCATGGAATTTCTTCAGAACAGATTGAATGCAGTTGATTTTTTTTAGTGCTTAAATGGAATATGTATATTTTAATAATTGTTCTTTCTGAGAGGTTCAGATTTCTTCTCCTGTACAGAGAAAAGCAGAGGAAATAGACTCTGTGATAACTAACATCTGGCTAGCCTGGAAACAGAATGACCAAAAGGTTTTGGTGTAAACCAATATTGGAGAAGTAATGGAATTTACTGTGGATGACTTGAAGTCTGCTGATCCTAGTAACTGTTATAATGTCTGGCCAATGACAAAATTACATTGAAGAATATTACAGAATATTTGTTGTCTCCACACATAGGTTAGAGACTAAGCATAAACACCTGTAAAATGTGGAGGGGGAAAATCAGAGCTGTGTTTAAGTGTCAAGCAGATATTACCCATTGTAAGCCTAAACAAATGCCTTCCATGTTCCTAACGATAACATGAAGTGGGTAATGGATGTGCATTCATACCTCTTTCCCCATCATATTACACACACCACAGAAGAGAAATCAGCGTACTTTCCCACAGTAGTGGGTCCTATGTAACAAGCACCCAGTTGTCCCAGTTTGCTGCCAGGACCCTTCCATTTGAATGTGTGAGGATCTGGTTGATGCTTTACCAGTTCTGAGTGCAGGGGCAACATGGTGGGTTCCTGAAGCTTCCTCTTTGGGCCTATTGGAGATATAGTCCGTGGAATGCCTGCAGTGTTACTGTTTTCTTGAAAACTCTGGCTCTACATGTCTCAATGGCTCTAAAATGTGTCCATATTGTAGCCCAGAAAGAATACACAGATGCACCCATCTCTTTATGTTTGGGGATATTGCTAATTCCATCCAGGAAGAGTAGAAGACAACAGAGATAGTTGGTGTGGGAGACCTGAGCCACCCAAGGTAGTAGACACACTGTTTTTTCTCTCTTGGATGAAGGATTATGGGTTCTGCTGGGAGACTGACTTCTGAACTTGGGAAAACTTCAGTCTGCTGCTCATGTCCTCGGTAGTCACACCAAAGCATCATGGTACATGATATATGTATAGAGAAGAGGTTTTAGATTTTTACTACTAGATATTATGTTGATAAACCAGATGTTTTGATTCTCAACCAGTCAGCGTCCATAAGGACAGAAGAAGAACAGATAAAATAGCTTTAAAATGATGACTGTGGTTGGAATTTAGTGAGGTCATCATGGCCCTGCACTTTTAATGGTCCTTTTGTCTAGTTCAGTCCTATTACGGGAGCTTTGAAGCTTAGTGGCCAGAAAGTGAATAGGTGTCCCCAGCTTCCTCTAAGGACAAGTACCCTCATAGGCTATAGAAAATTTCCTTAAAATGAGTTGAGATAATTATTTTAAAGTATTCTTAGTTATGAAAGCACACACACTGAATTTCTCAGCAACATTACAGTTGTGAAGCATCAATTCACTGCCAAGACAAGTGAAGCTTAGTCCCAGTTTCCCTGAAGATTTCTTTCATCTAACATGAAGTCAGCCTGTTGTGTGGGGAGGATGAGAAGAGGGAACAACGGAGAAGGTTTGAGCTGACCTCTTCTCCTGAACGAATCTCACAAGATGAGCCTACATAATGTCACATATCATTTGGTTGAGTGGTAGACAAGCTGGTTTGATTGATGTCTCATCACTGCCGTGCTGCCGAGTAGTTTTCGTATACCTTCCA